CCGGCCCGGCCGGAAGGGATGAGGCCGGCGTCGCAGGAGGGAGGGGGAGGGAGGCAGGAAGGCAGGCATTCGGCACCCGGCGTCCGCACCCCACCCCGCCCCGCTCCGCTCGCCTCCTCTCCGCCGCTGCCCGCTAGCAGCGAGAGCTCGGGCTCGGCGCTTCTCTGTTTCCGAGCGCCAGGAGTTTTCCCGCGGGTGCCGGTCCCAGGCGGGGATTTGCGTGCGGTGCCCTCTCCGCAGGAGAGCTTCCCTTGCCGGAAGCCGCATCCCGGGAGGGCAGAGCCTGGTCTGGCAGCGGCGTACGAGCAGGAGTGCGGGGCTGGGGGTTTCATCGCTGGTCTGGTATCCTGAGATTGCGTTTAGAATTTCCTACTTTGCAGTTTTTGTACTTAATGCTGTTTCATTGCGGGGACATCGAGTTTTGCTTCTTGCGTATTCATTATTAAAACTGTCAAAAATTGTGTTGATTTTACACGCAGAATAATAGAGTTGTAGGTTGGAGAGGACCTCTGAAGGTTATCTAGTCCAACCCTTCACACTTTGCCCTGTGGTGAACAGGGACATCGTCAGCTAGATCAGGTTGCTGAAAACCTTGATGGGACATGTGCCATCTCCTCTCATCATCTGTCTAGTCTAAATTTACCCTCTTTAAGTTTAAAACTGTTACTCATTGTTGTATCCTAACAGAACATCCAAAAAGTCTGTCCCCATCCTTCTCATTGCTCCCTTTAAGTACTGAAAGGCCACAATGAGGTCTACCCAGAGTCTTGTCCAGGCTGAACAAGCCCAGGTCTCTCACAGCCTTTCCTGATGGGAGAGATTGCCCTCTGAGCATCTCTCCTCTGTACTTGCTCCAGCATGGGTTTCCAATGTGTGTTCTTTCTGTTGCAGTTCCAAGGAACTATGACCCTGCACTGCATCCATTTGAGGTTGCGCGAGAGTACACGAGAGCTCTGAATGCCACAAAGCTAGAACGTGTGTTTGCAAAACCCTTTCTTAGTTCACTTGATGGCCACAGAGATGGAGTTAATTGCATGGCCAAACATCCAAAAAGTTTGTCTACAGTGCTGTCTGGAGCTTGTGATGGAGAGGTAAGCTTACAAACCACAACAAAGAAAAGGTACCTTTCTCTCTTACTTTCTTTTTTCTCTTTTGTTTTTTGTTGTGATGTTTGGTTGGTTTTGTCACACCTTTTCTGTCTTCTTTCAGCATGTTACCTTCATCCTCACTTGGAAGGTGAAACTTTTTGCTGTTCTTTAACTGTGCCACTGTACAGGGGAGACAAATTGTAGTGAAAGGTTTGTGGTTTGAGATAAGGACAGGGAGGGATCACTCACCTATTACCATCAAGGGTGAAACAGACCGAACTTGGGGATATTAGTTGAATTTAATATTAACAAAATCAGAGCAGGATAATGAGAAGTAAAACAAGACCTGAAAACTACCTTCCCCCACCCCTCCCTCCTTCCCAGGATCTCCCTCCTCCTCCCCAGCAGCACAGGGAAATGGGGAAAGGGGGTTACGGTAAGTTCATTACAAGTTGTTTCTGCCTCTACTCAGGGAGTGAAGTCCCTCCACTGCTCCACCATGGGTCCCTCCCATGGCAGACAGTTCTCCGTTAACTTCTCCAGTGTGAGTCCTTTCCACAGGCCGCAGGTTTTCATGAACTGCTTCTGTGTGGGTGACTGTTCCACATTGTGCACCCCTTCAAGAACAGGGTGCTCCAGTGTCACAGAGTCACAAGTCCTAGGAAACCTGCTCCAGTGCGGGCTCCTCTCTCCATGCCTCTAGAGGTCCCTGCCAGGACCTGTTCCAGCAAGGGTTTGCCGTGGATTACACCCTTCTTTGGGTGCATCTGGCCTTGATCTTCTCCACAGGTGCAGTTGGATCTCTGCACTCCCATTAACCTCCTCCATGGGCGCCAGGGGCACTGCTGCATTACTATGATCTTCATGACGGGTCAGGGGAGCCTCAGCTCTTCCCCCTCCTTCCCTCACCTTGGTGTCTGCAGAGTTATTGCTCCTCATGTACTGCTCCTCTCTTCGGAGTGCAGTAACCTCTGCCCACTAGCTTTTATTCCTTTTAAATGTGTTATCACAGAGTCATTACCACCATTTCTTACTAGCTTGGCCTTGGCCAGAGATGGGTCTGTGTGGGAGCTGGCTGGCATAGGCTCTGCTGGACATGAAGGAAGTTTCCAGCAGCTTCTCACAAAAGCCACCCCTGTAGATTCCCACTATCAAAACCTGGTCATGTAAAACCAATACATGTGATTGATTTTTGTTGCCCACATGATGCCCCCACTCCTTCCCCTAAAGCAGTTAAACCATCAGATTAGCTAGGGTGAAGGGGCACACAACCAGAAATTTTTTGTAATAACAATTTTTCATACTGCCTAAAAAAGGCTATTTGATTGCTTTACATAACTATAAATAGCAATCAAGGACACTTTAATTTGAACTAGTTGCAGAAAAAAATAGCTGTCTTTTTTGAATTCCCTATTTTTTCTCACCCTTTCATTGCTTATTTGATAGTACTTGAATACTTTAAAGGTATATTCTGGGCAGTTGGTTGCTTTCTGCTTTTTATAGAAAGTGCATATGTCATGCAGTAGGGATAAGGGAGGTTAACCTTTTCAGAGAAAAGGAACAAATTCCTATGAAAGTTTAGCCAGATTTCTTACCCACTGATAGAGTGAGTAAAATACTGGGTACTATAAATATATAAAAATATAAAACCTGACCTCCATTTATTTGTTGTTGTTTTTTTGTTTTTTTAAATGAGCCCAAAAGTTTTGAGATAGAAACCTCTATGAGAAATGGACATTTACAGATAATGTAGTACAGCAGCTGGACTGAAAAAATTCTGTTGGTTCCAAATTTCTTTGTGCTTTCGTCTTTAAAAGGGTATTTTTTTGCTGAATTTGTAACTGCTGGTGTTTTTAGCAAGCATTCTGGTTCAAAAACAGGGGAGTGCAAAATGCAGAAGGTGTACAGCGTAGGTCAGGGGAGAGGGTAAGAATAAAACAGCCTCACTTTTAAAATTGCTTTTCAAGAAAGAAATAATTAAATAGTTCTTAACATGATGAAATCTGATTAGTGTCCAAGCCAATTCTGCCATTTCACTACAACACGTGTAATCTCTTGTACTTGAATTGTGAGCTGCAGCTTTGGGTTGTAGAAAGCTAACAGAATATTTGCTCCTCTGTTTTTATCAGGTTAAAATTTGGAACTTGACCAAGCGACAATGCATCCGCACTATACAAGCCCACGAAGGCTTTGTTCGAGGCATGTGTGCCCGTTTCTGTGGTACATCATTCTTCACTGTAAGTATTGTGTGACTCCTTAATACTGCAGCAACACAGAGTAGCTGTTCACTATCTGCTTTTCACTGGGAGGCTTGCTCTCTGCCGTAGAATATTTAAATAGTGTATGAATACACTTATTAAATGTGACAGTGAACCCAACAGTTCTATTTACGATGAAATTTTTTTCTGATGTTGTGGTACGGATGTGATTCAAGACCTTCGAAGGGATAAATACCAGAAAATAGCTAACAGATGGTCATGTAATTAAAACTTGAATAAACTAGTTTTTATTAAGGTTGTAAATGGATTATCTTAATTGAAAGATGTAAAAGCATGTTAAAAAGTAACTGTTTGCATATATGGTGATTAAAAATAATCTGATTAAGTTAAGATCATTCCATGTGAACAAGGCTTTATTAATTCATAAAACCCGCAACAGATTCAGTTGCATGTAAACTGCTTGGAAATGGTTTGTCTTCATATTGGCATTAAAACAGTTCTAAGATAACACAGCATGAAAAACTGTTTTTGAAAACTGAAGTGTCCTGAGGTTGTGCTTTGTTTGAACTGGTCATAAAAGAGCCATTTTCACTATAGTATATTTATTTTTTATAAGGTATGTACTAGTTCACAGGGACAATAGTTAGGATATAGTTAGGATTTTTCACTCACAGTGAAAAACTTAAGTGACTCCAAGTTACTTAGTCCCCTATTGACAATCTGTCTGCCTGAAAATTGAGAGGGAGAAAAGAAACAGTAGTAGTGCATTCAGGGAGGGGAAGATAAACTTGTAAAGCTAACATTTTTTAGGCCTGTTTGCATGATCCAGGTCACTGCACAGCTATACAAAAGCTTGTGCTGTCATTAGTGCAAGAGGTAGAACAAAATTTGAAACAGGCAACCAGAGCAACTGAGGTGGAAAATACCTTTTAACTGATAACAGGCTCATCAAAATGACTTCCAGAAGATAATTTGCAGTTTAGGGTGCCAGTTGATTGAAAATCACAAAATGTAGCATTACAAAATAACCATCACTCCAGTTCACCTTTTTCCTATTCTGTTTTGATTTCGGAAACTGAAAAAGCTTTGTGGATCAAGATAGACAGCTGAATAGGTGAAGGAAAGGTGGTGGTGGTGGGAAACAAGTGACAAACTGGGAGTCAGTTGCCTGCCTTCAGAAGCCAACAGATCCCCAGACAATCTCTGAGCAGCAGCCACTGTGGAGCCCACCTCCTCTTTCTGCTCCCAGTACTGCAGCTTTTATTGCAGAGCATCATTCCATGGTATGGAATAGTCCTTTGGCCACTTCAGGACATCTGTTATGCCTGTGTCCCCTCCCAGTCTTTGCCCACCCCAAGCCTGTTTCCTGGTGGGTGAGGCAGGGATGATGGAGACAGAGTGGGAGCAGTGGGAAATGCCTCAGCACTGAGCAAGCACAGCCAAGGCTTGGGTGCTGTATCAGCACTGTTTCAGCCACTAATCAAAAACACAGTGCCAGGTGGGCTGCAATGAAGAATGTTCACTCCAGCCAGGCCATGTACATGTTTTAACAACGTATTATGACCAGCAGAGCTAATCTGTGAACACTGAACCAGCAGGAGGAAGCATTTGTGTATATCACAGAATGTTTTGTTTTTTGTTTGTTTTTTGAAAGGATGCCTGTATTTAATTGCAAAGCATATCTAGCAAAATAAAAGGGAATATATTTACATAAAACTGTACATGATTTCTCCAATGTTTCCAGGTTGGTGATGACAAAACCGTGAAACAGTGGAAAATGGAGAGCCCGGAATATGGAGAAGAAGAAGAACCTATTCATACAATTCTTGGGAAGGTAGTGGATCTGAGTTTTGATTTCCCCACACATCTTTTGAATTAAATTTCAATCATTTCATATCTAGCTTTTGAAGGAGAGAAAAATAGTTTGATATCAGGTGTTATCATAATGGGTTGTAATTTGATGACAAATTTTATAATGGCACTTTTAAAGTATTTTCATGTTTTTATTCCACTTATTTTACATGTAACAGAAAACACTCCTTGAATGCCACCAGAGTCTGCTTAGCTCTGTCTGCTAATTATCCCTTTCCTGCAAACTGGTCACATTTCTCTGTAGTCTCGTCAGACATGTGATGTCAGTGCTTAGTGTACATTAAATAACTTATTTTTCATGCCAATACGTTACAGCTATTCAATACAAAATACTAACACCTTACACCTTTCTTATTGACAAAAAGCAGTCTAAAAATATTTATTTTGGCGCCTTGAATTTATGATAAGCTTATGTTAGGAAAAACATTAAATGCTTTTTTCAAATAGGTAGTTAGAAACTCTTTAGTTATTGCAGTGTCTGTGGAATCCAATCAAGTCCCAAGGAAAATACAGTTGCACTCTTAAAAATTTCATTTGCTTTAAAATCAGCCAGGATTTTGTAAATATGCATTTAGTGCCAACTCCATTGTAAATTAACATGCAAAATACATGTGCCTTAAATGGAAAAGAAAGCTTGCCTGCTGGAAGGGGTACATCTGATCAGGCTTAGTGTCTGGTAGCACTGGTGAGTTAATTTTGAGTAATATAAATGAGAAAAACCAAGTGAGACTCTATATGCAATGCTTTGTTGATTTTTTCCTAACAGAACATACTTGAGTATTTATGCATACAATTGGGTTTTAAAATTTTTACTTTGTTTTTTTGTTTTTTTCCCTTGAAGACAGTGTATACAGGAATTGATCACCACTGGAAGGAACCTGTTTTTGCTACCTGTGGCCATCAAGTGGACATTTGGGATGAACAAAGGACAAGCCCCAAGTGTTCTCTGACTTGGGGTTTTGATAGCATAAGCAGTGTAAAATTTAATCCCATTGAGGTAATGCTTGTGTTATATATTGGAAACTAGTATTTTTTGTTAACAGTATGAGATCCAAACTCTACTTGCACCATCTTGAATTTTTTTCTTGCAAATTTAGATTTTATGTTTTAATGGAATATGTAGGGGGATGTATACATAGATTTTGATGGTAATATTATTTTGGAATGTAGTACCATATATTTTTATTTTCCTATTTTTTGTCTCTGTTAGTTTGGGAGAGGAGAAACAAAAGCAGGGCAGTCTCCATTCTGCCCACAACAATACATACCTGGTACCTCAGTCATACAGTGCAGCAGTTAAGTGGCTGTGGGGCTGCCACTTAATCAGTTCCAGTATTCTACTACCTGTGACTGAGACTTCTCACCCTCTCCATGGCAAAACAATTGCATTTGATCTTTCACAGCACTTCCTATTATACCTTTGACTGGGCTATGCTGATAGAAAAATGTTTATGAGGAATTGTCTGTTAGTTTTAAAGTAGAGGGCACCGCATGGATTCTGAATCTTACAGGGAAAGCTATTTAAAGTATTTGTGCTGGGTGATCAGTTGCACAGAAAAAATGATGAATGTATTTCCTTGACTGAAAAAGAAACTCATGATCAGCTTTGTGAAATAGCTTAGTTATCTAATGAAAGCTGTTAACCACATTCCAGAAGTATTTCGAAGACTGTACACATTGCTTTTATTTTTTTTTTTTTTTTTTTTCCCAGACTTACCTTTTGGGAAGCTGTGCTTCTGACAGGAATATTGTGCTATATGATATGAGAAAATCAACTCCATTAAAAAAGGTAATGTTTTTCTATTTAAAATGAATTACTGGTGCTAATAATAATACTGAATATATAATAGCCTGTAACTTGGTGACAGCAGAGAACAGGAAGCTCTGAATTCTGAGTTCACTGAGCTTTTATTGTCTGAGTCTTCTGAGTTTGAATTAATGTTGGGATTTAAACAATGCAGAGTTAGAAGGGATTTTTTTTGCATTCAGACAGGCTGTCATGCTCACTCTGTTGTAATTCTTGATCAAGTGCCTGACCTGACAGCAATTTCACAATAAGAACTTTATGTTCTTGTATTGCATTCTGTCTATGTATGTGTGATTTTTTTTTTTCCTCTTCTTGCCAGAAGGAAACAAGGTAAGTTTATCACTGGAGAGTCTTGCTCTGTATTTGGAAAGGTGTTTTTCCTTCGAAGGGAGATAAACCCTTCCCTGTGCACTGTAAACATTCAGAAATAATTTGCAGAAATAGATTCCTATTTAACAGAATATTTTTTGTTTATTTAAGTAGGAAGCTGGTAATTCATACACGTGTAGCAAACCTCAATCAAGTTCAGTAGTTCTGAGCCCCAGAAATATCTTAACAATATTCTTCTTGAAATACAATATTCTAGCTCATGAATATGTACTCGGTGTTCTCCTGTGTTACATACTGTCTGCAGTGTCATTGGTCTGATACATGCTAGAACATTCAAATGGTATTTAGTTATAAAAAGGAATATTGTTGTCATAACAGTATTTCTTTCTCTCCCTGTGCCCCAACAATTTTTAGTGAATATTCACTTGGGCCACTGAGGCAGTACTTATAAAAACTTGTCAGTGATGCCAGCTGAAGACCTGAATGTTGAAATGAACACAGCCGGTGCTGTAGAGCTACAGTTACAAGCTCAAAGGATGCAGTTTGATCCTTTGCGAGCTAAATTTAAATCTAACAGAATTTTACATATGTATATATGCTAGATATATGACTGTGCATACATATAGAATTTTTATGTTGGACTGTGTGCACATGTTTGTATATGTGTATCTCATGTAAAGCAGCGTGCTGAGGTACATTTCCTGCTGTAGGAATAAAACACTGGTTAGTACTTCCTTGCTTCCATGGGCACAGTACTGTGTTTCCTCCTGGGATAGGGGTAATTCTGCTGTGGAGGGGACATGAAATGTCCATTTCTGCATTGAGCTCTGGAACTCCTAAGAGAAGGGGTTTGCTTATTACAAGTACCTTACTTATGTATGAGCACTGGTTTCTGGCACTGCTGCCTTCCTGGGATTTGATCAGCAAAGCAGTTGGAACTCAGTGGGAGTCCTTTCCTTAATGAAAATATGAGTACAGCTTCTCACATCACAAAGCAGTAGCTCTGTTGCCTGTTTGTCCTGAGTGTGGGTTTCGAAGCCTTAAGTCTTAAAAAGGGAGGGATGAGATAGTGAGATGGGTTCAAAATAAGAACTAGTCTAAAAAGAGCTGGGAAAGATGAATAAAAGGAATTCTGTTGAAAGACAGGAAGAAAATGTTTTGGTAGGCGTTGGTATACTTTAAAACTAGAAGGTATTCTTGTGCAACCTTCAGGGAAGCTTAGGGTGTTTCAAAGATAGGCTTCAGCATTTAATCAGCTGAAAGGAACTGTGTTTTCTCTTGTTACATTCTTAGGTGTTCATCTCAACCAAATATTTGAAGTTAGTAAAGGAAGACAGGTTAATTGGGTAATGTTTCTCTGTTAAAGTAATCTCACCATTTCCAGGCTTTCATTCTTTGTAAGCAAATGTTCACAGTTAAAATAATTAAACCCAGAGAACCAAGTCTTCAGGGACTTCAGAATTTTGACTTGTAAGGACTTAAACTTACCCATTTTATGAGATGTACAAGAGATTGAAAATAGTGGTAAAAAAATGGCTCTAGTATGGCTTTAGATAGTTCTGAAGTGCCATTATGAATGTATTTACAGCAAATTAAATCACTTGCAGCCCAGGTTTCCTTACATAGTTGTTAGTAAACCTAATGCTAGAACTGTAGAGACAGTCTCATTTCTTAGGCACTGTTTTAATTCCAAAAGGCACTGCTGAAATGAACTGAAGGCTTGTAAATTTTGGTCAAAAAATAGAGATTTGGAGCATGACAGAACTTGACTCCTTTGAAAGAGCTGGATTTTTGGCAATATTGAAATTATTTTGTAGCATGATAAAAGTACTTTTTAAACATATGGTGTATTAGATTAACTGTGTGTTCATTTTGCAGTGGCTGATAAACTTGTACAGGAAGGAATAAAGAACAGTCCTTGATTATTAACTTCCCAGTTTTGTGCAAGATTTATAACTAGAACAATACTGAAATCTGAGCAAGTTCTAGTTGTCACATTAGTGTAAACAGATGACATTTCAGTGTCTGCTTTTTAAACTAGAGATCACTTTAGAGATCTGATGATTGCATGCAGTTCCTGAAAATAAGAGGTGTTCTGCAGCACAGACTTGATAATGAACAGGATGGTGTCACCTGGGAAATGAGGATTTTGGGAGAATGAGAATTACAAGAATGGGTAAGATTCATTAGAATCTTTTGGAGGGTTGTTCAGTCATCACTATTAACTTGTTTTGAGACTGTCCATTACTGTAAGGGTTATAACGGTACAACTATATTCTGAAATATGTGTGTAAATTTGTGGTGTTTGGTGGAGTAAACCAAGAACAAAAATGTGTTTAACATAGCGTTAAACACACAAATTTCAGGATTTTTAAGTAGGATTAAAGCTGGCCTGGAGCATTGTAGAAAATCCCATTTAGAGTTGTTCAGTTTGTTAATAAGTTGCTCTGTAATTACACATCCACTTTGTGTCAGGCATACTGTATAGTTCTTATTTTCAAATAAACGGGTGGAAGTTCCTCTCAGACTCAGCAGAAGCCAAAGCTGCTGTGTCTGGTGTGTCAGATGATTCCTCCCTGCCTTGCCCTGTCTCACAGGGGACCAGCTGTTCTCCAAGGTGGGGACATCCAATGTACAGCTTGCCTCTTGTCTAGTCTGCAGTTAGCAAAGTAGGAGGGTTTTATTAGTCTGTTATCAGCTGCCTTCCTCCCTCTTCAGGGCCAACTGGCCTCTTTGTTGGCCATATGCTTACAAGCAGCAAACAAATCTTACAAATGTGTGAGGAATGATTCAGTGCTGATACAGTGATAGTGCTGAGTAGGTGACAGCACAGTAACTTCTGTGTACATTGCTTGGTGCTTCAGCAAGAAATGGCAGCTGGCCAGGAGAATTCATGAACTGTGATTTTAGATATAAAATAATGAAGGGGTAATAACTGGGAGGACATAAAAATGTTACAATTGTTTTTCAAATGCTGGTTCACAGCTTCAGTTAATGACTACATCCCTTGAAATGACCATTTAATTAGGCACGTCTGTAGAAGGTTCCTGTAAATAGGACAGAGAAGTGAAGTTTTTCGGAAGTTCCAGATTTACTTGTTGACCACTAGCAGGTTGCCATGTTAAATAACCACTTAGAAGAATTTGATTCTAAGGTGATTTACAGAGGAAAATTTAATTGCTGTGTAGCCCAAAGCAGTAAACATACAATGTGAGACAGGAGGTTTTGGGTTTCACTTCTAACACTGCTGAGGAAACATTCTATCATGTATTCCTCTGCCATAATTCTCTATCTACAAAGTGCTTGTCTTCAGGGGTATGTAGGAAGTTTTTAACTGCAGTGGGTGTTTTACTGCCTATAGCAAGGTAGAAATGTGTAAATATATTCCAGGTTATCTTGAACATGAGGACAAATACACTGTGTTGGAACCCTATGGAAGCTTTCATTTTTACTGCAGCAAATGAAGATTACAAGTAAGTGTAACCTTGCTTTTTGATAATCCTGGACAGGTTATATTTTTCATCTGTACCTTGGTGATTTTTGATCATGCTGAAATAAATTTTTAAAGGCTACTAAAAGTCTAAATTTGAATCACTTAATAACCTAGAGAATTATAGGAATACTGATTTAAAGAAATGTTAGTGATAGTAGACTGCCTCTTTCTGTGTGTCTCAGTACTTGGGGGGTAAAAAGTGATGTAACTTAGAATAAATGCAGCTGAACCAATGCAAGTGTAACTTGAAATAGACCCTGGAATATAAGTACTGTTGGTCCAGTCTGAGGCAATATAAGTGTTTATTTTCTTGCCAGCTCTCATGAAGCTTTATACTTTGTACTGATCAGTTATTTTGATGAGAACATTTCTTACATAAAATAAATTAATCTTTTGTGAGACAGTTCTGGAGACTGCAGTACTTATCCTTTCAGTATCTCGGAGCAGTTTTTTACTTTTGAACAATACTATTCATGTGAACAGCTAATCTGATATTGAAAAAGCTGTCTCTTCAAAACTAGGCCATTGCAAATGTGCTCCATATCCTTTTTTCCAGGAAGTCAGCGATCTAACAATAGATCACTGTTTTCTTCTAGAACATAGGAATTTTATCACTTATCTGTTTTTCTAAGGAAATGGAATGTGGCTCAGATCTTGAAAGTAGTGTTATATCCAATGTGTTGTTATTCTTGTATTTATGTTATGGTATGGTAAAGCTATTAGACTGCCTAATCTGTTTGTTTATAAGATTGGGGTTTTTTGTTTGTGAATTTGCTTTTTGACTGGTTTGGTGTTTTTAATTTTTTTTTTCCTTCCTCTTGCTAAACTAAAATCTATAGCTGTTGCTGTCAGGGACAACTGTCCTCTTGCAGCCTGAAGCATTTAGTATACAAAGGCAAATGCACACATCAACAATGCATATGCAACTATTTGCTGATTATATGGAGTAGCAGTTTTGAATAAGATGCTGCATACTTTCTCTTGGGGAATTTAGAAGGAAAAAGCAATAATCACCATTATAATATTCAGTAAGATACATTTAATTTCAGCTATGCATTCATCTGCAGAAAGGAAGGTGAGAAACCTGGCAAATTAAATTTATTTAACATAATAATTCTGCTAAATAGTATATCTTAAGCAGGTTTCAATAAATGCATTGTCTGTAAAACACATATGATGGTCTTGATGGTCTACACAGTGATTATGCCTAGCTTCTTTATTCAAAGGGAGAGGAGGTAGGCCTTATCTGAGCTTTGAAGTCCTTAACAGCAAACCAGCTGTGGTCCAGCAGCTGGATGTTTACTTTTAACATAATGCTTCTATAGATAGTGCTACCTGCTGAACTATCATCTCTGTGTGTAAGGACTGAGCTTTCCCTGCACTCCTAGACTTGCTACACCAAGCTGTCCTTGCTCTTGTCTGGCCTAAGAAAATTAGGCAGTAGCAAAGGGTGCCAGCAAAATGGAACTTTACAGTAGACTGAATTACTAGGAGTTCACAGTAGGGGAATATTTAGAAACCTTTCAGAACTGATAGACTTGCTGTAATGATTGAGATGCTTTTACAAGTTCAGGGTGCATAGTTACATCAGAAGATGGAGTAAAGGAGGCCAGTGTGATGCCTGGAGTCTGACCCATGGACAGTTGATGAAGGGAATAGTGGAGCCTGATTAACAAATTTCTTTCAAACCCCAAACAATGCCATTTTCTTTCTTTTCATGTATTATGAGCTGTTTTAAGGAGCTCCCTCTGCAATATGGCTCTAACCTTACATGTGGTTTATGCAAAATGTACTGTTTACCTTACTAGTTAAGATATTAAGCTACTGATGTATTTATTTTAAAGCTTATATACTTTTGATATGCGCTTTCTTGAATCACCTGTGATGGTGCATATGGATCACGTGTCTGCTGTTCTTGATGTGGATTATTCACCCACTGGGAAAGAGTTTGTGTCTGCCAGCTTTGATAAGTCCATCCGCATTTTTCCTGTAGACAAAGGTCACAGCAGGTGAGTAGTTTAACACCTTTCTCTCTTCCTGTCATTCATTCCAGTGACTTCCTCCCAAATCCTCAGAATCACTAATTCATTAACATCTTCATTGGGGCATTTGCATCCTGTGAGTGTTGAAATCTTACTCAGTCAGTAGCTTGAAGCTGACAGGCTTCAAGGCTGACAGGTGTAGTTGACTTAATTCTGGAGCATGGATCAAGAGTAGAGCTGCTTAACAAGTAGCACTACTTCCACAATATGAAATTAAAATTAGAGTGGATTATTGTGCTTGTGCAATTTCTGTTTTACTATGATGAATCCCATTTTATTTCCCTGTCTATGCATTTTCAATGTTTTTAGGTTAGAGTTAGGGTTAACAGTATATGTTTATACTGTTTCTGTCACCACTTAGGTTTGCAGTGTATTACAGCATTGTAGCATTTGGTTTCCTAGGGATTGTCTTCATCCTGAGTGGATGATTGCTAAAGACATTGTGTAAAATAGATTGCTGTATGAATTCCTGAGGATCAGTTTGGGACCCTTTTGTGATCTGTTTCAGTGCACTTGGTACCTTTTTTTTCATATTTTGTTAACGTGGTTTTGATTTGTAATACAGTGCTTTGAATACAATTCACGTGGATTTTGTTTTTCATGTAAGGTTTCATAAGTCAGTATATTAAATGTTTTGCTGGAGTTCAGATTGAATCTACTGTGTCTCCATTCTTTTTTGTTTTTCTTTCAGTTTGATGAAAACTGAAGCAAGTTATCTGATCTTTCTGATATCATTTGATCTTCATAAACCTGCCTTCATTATTCTTTCTTGTCAGTTCTTCCTCCTTTTTCTTTATTCTTAACTTTGTTTTACTTCTGCTTGACTTCCTGTCTCCAACCTTGTCCCCCCAGAAGGTTGTTGCTAAGTGAACTTTTAGGTGGTTTTAGGGTGAAAATGTTGAAATACCAGCTGGGGAAGAAGTATATTTTTATTACTGATTGATGAAATTGTGCATGCTGTGTAACTGTTTGTGCTCCTGTGACCCGTTAGAAAATGGAAGGGGCTATTTACATTCCCTCTATAGTTAATCTACCGATAGCTTTCACATTCTTTTTGTCTTGAAATAGTACTTGAAATGTAATTATGTAGTTCAGCTTCTTAATAGGTTTGTTTTTTTTTTTTTTAACTTGCATTATTAAACAATATGGTTAGCAGCTTCATTGTATGAATTAATAACATTCACAGAAGTGGTGATATGCCAAGTTAAGACGCATCACTGAGGAGAAGTTTGCAGACCCCATAATGCAACAGTAAAAGGCTTTATTTCACATTTTAGCAGATTATTACCAAGGCCTGTGGAAGGGTTTTTTTTTCTCTTTGTTCCTACTTTTTCCCCTTTTGTGTTGCAGCCATAAATCTAGTGAGGAGAAGCCTTACAAATGAAAAATTTTGCCTCATGTAAGCTGATTAGAGTGTTCTGGTACACTTAAAGTTCTTTAGAAGCTGGGCTTCTTTAGAATTGCACAGTTCATGTTAATCTCATGGGATGGAGAAAAGTCTGTAGATAGAAGATCTGATTCTACTTGGGAGACTGAGGGCAGTTAGGAATATCTGTAAATAAGGATCCTGATGCTGTTCTAGTTTTTGATTCTGATGTCTTGCCAATCTGAAAAACTCTCCTGACTTCAATTGCTTTCTATTTTTATTTTTAAATAAAAATTTAAATAATGAAATTGTTTAGCCCTAAGAAACAAGATTTATTATGAAGTTGATTAAAATTTAGTAAATGCTGAACTGTATTTCTGTGTGAACTTTTAAATGACAGATCCAGGTTATTTGGCCATGTTTTCTGTTCTTCCTGTCCCTAAAAATGATATTTAATACCTTGTGATGACAGCCATAGGATAGGCAAAGGCTGCAAATTCAAAGTGTGGAAAGGAAAAGGACTTAGTTCCCCAAAGGTGGATGAAGAAAAAGCTTTGTTACTGAGTCACATAGTAGAAGGAAAATAAGCATAAAAATTCTTGTGAAAGTGCAGATGTGCACACCTGCCATTACACAGTGAAAAGCTGATGTATTAGTGTTTTCTGATGGTAGCTGTGCTTAGTTTTCCACATAGTTGTTCTTGGAGAGTATTGCTTGCTGGTGAATTAAGAGGTGATTAGGCTTATTAAAGCTTATTTATTCTGATATATTGATTACTTTTCTTTTTCTCAAAACCACTTCAGCTCAACCTCAGTCTAGTTTCTCCACAACATTTGAATAAATGTGGTTTTTTTGCATTATTACTTGGGTTTTCCTTGCAAAAATAACTGAGTCGAAGAAAGAGAATAAGCTGTCTTGCATGACTGATGTGTCAAAGAAGTGGCTATTGGTAGGCAATAAATAGGCCTTATTTATTCCTTCTTTTCAGAATGCTAATGAATAGCTAAGATTCCCAAAAAAAGTGTATTTAGTCCTTTATAGCAGAAATAAAGGAATAAATTTGATACAAACTTCATGAAAATTAGACAAGAGTTTAAATATTGGTTTAAATGTAAACATTTATATGTATATTAAATGTAAACAATGAAACATTTTCCAACAGCACTTGTGGAGCAGGACCAGCTGAAATTAAATATGGAGTCCATTTTTGGGTAAAGGAGGGAAATAGCAATGAAGAGTAGCAAATCCATTACTATATCATAAATGGACGGATGGGAGGTATTTCTTTGCTGTTTGGTGTCAGATTCTTTGGCACCTATTTTTCTACATTCCCATTCTGAAATACACTCAATGTAAAAGCACATTAATCAAAATTATTTCAGGAACAGTGCATTTCATACTGTATTCCCATAGCATGTTTTGCAAAAAGAGTTATTATTTAACTCTACTATAATTTCTGTGAAAGCACTTACTTAAAAAGCATCTTATCCTAGGTGACCTTTTATCAGTCTATCACACTTCCTTTGTATCTCTATCTATAGAAAGATAAGATCAGCACAGTGTTTAAAAAGTCAGATTTTTTTAAAAACAACGGCAAGTAAATGTAAAAACAAAAAAAATTTGCCTTGAACAGAATGCTTTCTGCTACTTGAAAGGTAATGGTGAGAAAAGTGATGATAGATCATTTAAAAGTGTTTCTCTTTGCTCTAGGGAGGTTTATCATACCAAACGAATGCAGCACGTCATCACTGTAAAATGGACTTCAGATAACAAATACATTCTGTGTGGCTCAGATGAGATGAATATTCGTCTGTGGAAAGCTAATGCTTCTGAAAAGCTGGGAGTGGTAAGAGTTGCATTTTGCTTTTTGTTACCACAAGATGTTTAGGGGTTTTGTTTTTATTACAGCCAGTTATCCTCTTCAACTTTTAAAAACTTGTTTATGAAGTTTGACATTTGTGTTTAATTTGCAGATTGTCATGTGCAGTATAGCTCATTGCATTTACTGCAGCTTATAATAATTCTAATAAGAAAATGACATACCTCATTATTGCTACACAAGATGATTTTTTTTGGTCTTGTTTAATGTTAACTATAATCATCAGTTCTATGTAAACTAGATTTGAATTTTTTACCTGTGTGCTAATGGTTAGAATTCATCCTTTACCACTGTGACAAAAGTAAGAAATTCTGTTTTGCCATACGTAAGTAATTCTATTGAAGTTTAGAGTTACTACTTTTAAAGATTTTGATTGACATGTGATTACTTTGTATTCATTCATGCAGTTGGTTAAAAAAAAAAAAAGTATAAAAATAAAAAGAAAACCATGCTGTGATAAGCATATGTATTGTAAAGTAGACAATTTGCACTCATGTGTACTTAGACACTGAGGTTGTCATTAACCTGTATAACTCTCAGATACCAAGTAGGCAAACTAGGCTGGTATCTGAAGTCCACTTAATTCACTGTAAATCTGTTTGGTCGAGGTGTTCCTAGTGTGAGCATTCACCAGCCTCATTAGATAGGTCTTTGCAGATATACTTGTTCAAGTGTTTATGTACAGAAGAAGCCCAAATGTTCCCTTTCAGTTACCCATTGCATAGATTCATCTGCAGTTGTGTCAAAGTATTGAGTGACTTTGGAGAACAAAGTTGGCACCTTGTCTGCTGGGAGTAACTCCTTTATGTAGCTTTATATTGTTATGGTACTTTGGAGGTGCTTACGTTGCCTTTTCTGAGTCCATGGGCAGAGCTGTCAGATAACGTCTGGGGGAATTTTTGCTTGATCTTGTGAAAGGTTGTGGGAAGAGGAAAGGGAAGCTGTGATTCAGGGAAGAATATGGTACAGCTGAGATGCTGGATTTGTTGCATACTAATGTCAAGGATTGCTTGTGGTTACCTGAAACTCCATCAACTTGAAGGATAACTTGAAGTTATCGTCTGTAGGAAGGAGGTGAAGCAGAGCTGGGAGAGGTGGAGGGAGTGGAGGAGTACTTAGGACTACACTGGAAACAGGACAAGTCATGGACTACTGTGCACTCTGAAGTACTGGATATGGAGTAGTGCAGTTAAAATAACATGTATGACTTTAGCCATGGCCCACTATAGGTGTTGGGAAGTCCTGTTAGTATTCTCAGTTTTGCTCTAGAGCAGTAGATAAAAAAAACCAAAACATAGCTTTGTGGTCTCTGCTGTAATTGTGATTGCAAACAACTATTTATGTTGAATTTTTTTAATTTTAGTTTTTTTAAAGGATACCTCTTTTTTTTTCTTTTTTTTTCTTTTTTTTTTTTTTGTTTTTCCTCCCTGATCTTTTGCATTGATTATTGGGATTTTCTCATGTGGTGCTTTGGTGTAATACTTAAATATTAATTCCATAGTTGCTAATTTTGGGGATTCCACAAAGCTCATTAGAGACTTTATTTTTTGCATTTAATGTTCGTGTTGAATTTGTTTAGATAATGCAGGTTTGGGTAGAAGTATTGTCTGTTTTCCTTCTGTTATATCAGTATACTCATGGCAACATCCTTTTTACCTGATTTTATGATATTAACTGAAACATTCTCCATTTACTCACTATATTTTTAGTGAGAGATCATGATGTTTCTCTTTAAGATGCTGTTCCATAACAAATTGTCTGGTATTTTTGACGTTCGTCTTTACTCTGAGCCTTTTGTGTGAAGAACAAGTGGGTAAAAAGAATGTCACAAATACCATTTTCATGTAGAGGAGTTCCTAATATTTTCAGATGTGAACAAAAAGTTCACTGTATTGACTACCAAATGGCATTGGCTCCTTTTCTTATGGGAGAGTAAGGATAATTGACTGGAAAGTAATAGGCAAACACAGCTAGTCCTGCATTGCAGAAATACTGCATACCAAAAGGACAGCTTAGCTATTGTTTGAGTGTTCAGAACATAGACTGGTAAATAACATTCTGCTGGTTTTTGTAGTATTTGCATCAGTGAAAACTGACCATGGATGGGCCTAAAAAAGGCACTACTTAGTTGTGACTACTGGGTATTGGATATGGTGTGTGGATTAATACTCGTGTTCCTTGACCTGACAGGAATCCCACACAAAGCAGCCTTTGCTGTTTTAATTTGTGACTACAGTGTTCTTGCTTGATGTGCCCCTTGGAGGCTGTGCCTGTGATGTGGTTCTGCTCTTGTGGGATTGTTCCAGTGAAGCTTTTGTCATGTGTGTAAGGGTGTGTATTTCTGTCACAGCACTTGGGCTGGTGGCTCCCAAGAGAGCCAAATCAATAACTGTCTATGACACAGGTCAAGTGGCATGTGGTTTATTATTTGACTTCCCTCTCCCTCCCCCCCACCCCAGTTTTTGAGTTATTCTTGGAGTTGGGTTTTTTGGTTTGTTTTTTTTTTTTTTGTTTTGTTTTTGTTAAAGTTTTTTTTTTTCTGTCAAAAGTGAAAATCCTCCCATAATTTATTATCCTATCTTAGAAAAAACACCTTGCAACATCAAAAGTCATCTTAAGAAAGCGAAACTGTTTAAAAATACAGGAAACACTTAAGAGAGACATAGTGTCTTCTGTAGAAAAATTGCACTCATTTCCAGGACAGAGATGAACTTGTGAAGAATTACATTATAATGAGAAGAGAATGTTTCACATCCCTATATCTTATGTGGGAATGTGTTCAAAAATGGTGTTGTTGAAGCCGTGAATTTAGCAAGACACAGAATTTGAAGCTGTCTGAAGTGGCTATAGTTGTTTAAAATTTTTTTAGAAGCACTATGAAGTGCTATTTTCAGATGTTAGAGAGCAATTTTAGCTAATAGGACTCAGGAGTCCTCATGGCTTATCATGCTCTTGGATATATCTTGGGAATGTTGCTTGGATTCAGGCAACTGTGAATCCCTCTTTATCCAGCCTGGTAGTTCCTGTGATTCTTAACAATGCAATTGCTAATGGCTATTTAGCAGGTTCCACTGATTTTCTTTAGTACCTGCTTCTTTTTTAGAGTCTTGGTGTTCTTATCTTCACAGACATATGCTTGCTTACTTTATAAATGTCCAGTTCTTCCACAGTCTGTGGCTATTTTTTGAATGTTTTGAATATTCAAAGCTGAACATCCAGTAATTCTGTCAGAAGTGTCAAAATATGTCTTAAATGCTTAGTTGCTTGGTCTGCTATTTTTCTTTGCTGAGAAGATTTGATTGAATGACTCATCCATAGGTCAGTGTATTTCTGATATAATGCCAAAATCTTGCAATACATTGTATTTTACGATGGATATTTTTGTGCTGGGGGTGGGTAGAAATCAACATCCTGAAAGAGAAAGGAAAATAGTGATCAAACTTTTTTTTTCCACTTTGGTGAGTGCTTACTTGGTTTTTTAAATTACTGAGTTCAAAGAAAGTTATAGTGAATATATAGTACTCATGTTGTGGCTGGTGAACATTTATCCAGTTGGAAAGTTGTACTTTTTGAACCGTAGCTACCCAAGCAGTCATCAGTTCTGACATGCATGTTTCTTTTGGGTTTTAATGTATTTGGCACTGCACTCATTATTCAAAATCAGTGAAACATGAAAGAAAGAAAGAAGAAAAGTCTCTGGAGGAGCCAGAGGCATCTTATGTCTCTACTCCACTGACAATTAAGTCTGCACAGGTTTTACATAGGATACCCAAATATCTGTGTTGGAGCTACTGCAGAAGTTGCTTCAATTTTCTACATATAGCTTTTAATAAATTTCCATTAATTGATAAATATGTATTATTAAATAGGACATACCAGGTGTTCTTTTTAAAGCAGTGAACATCTATCTCTGCATGCCCAGAAGCAAAAGACTCAGTTAAGACTTGAAAAACTCTAGGCTGTTCAAACAGGTAAAATATGGCTTGTTAAGTATGTTTGATGCCTTTTTATCTGTGTTTTTGAAGAAGTTAGGTATTTATGAAAAGGTAAATGATTTTGACTTTTGAGGAGGAAAATAGAGCCTGGTCTGAGTGGCAAGGCTGAAAAAGCAGCATTAATAGTAGATTTTAGTTAATAGTGTATACAGTTAATGTAATTGATGGAAAGAAAGGGATAGACTAGGCTTTTCTGAATTGTACTGAAAGTAATGAACCATCAGTAAAACTTGTAAAAGCTGTATTACTTTTCAGTCTACTGCCACAATAAAAAAATAATTATACCTGCACTTCTGAATTCTTAGTAACATTAGTTCTGTGAGTAACAGCTGCAAAATTTTGTCTCTTTTATGAATTAGAACAGAGCAGTGGGTTAGGATGCTTAGAATTTTAGTGAAACTACTGATGAGTGAGTGAACACTAGTGGAGCATAGGTTTACTGCTTTCTTAAAAAATTTGGAAATACTGGGTTTTGAGTATGGGCTAGTAGAGATAGGAGAAAGTGCTGTTAGAAATCTTGGTTTTGATCTAACAAAGTGCATTAGCAGGAGTACATCAAAACTGTCTTAAGCAATTGTTTATCCTTTCAGTCTGTTTCTAGTATGTGGTTCCATTTCCTGAGATAATGCTGATAACAAGCAGTACCAGATACTGTGGCTTGTGGCATTCTTTTCATAGTGATTTTTGCCCTGTAATTCAGTGCACCTGTAACTTCAATCCTGTACCTATGATTTCATGCTTTTAACATCTACATTGCCTTGCATTAACTTTCTGGTTTTTTTGCTTTTGCCATCCTTTTAGATGTAGAGATCAAAATTTTTGGTCCAGGAAAGAGTGAATAATGAACTTCATGGCAATAAATTTAGAAAGATGTTTTCAACAGAGCAATAGAAAAATAAATAAAGACAAGCTATGATGTAGAAAACTGCTGGGATATATCTGGATTCTAAAAATATATTGCATCTGTGCTCTTGCCTGCCCTAACCTAGAAGGGCAACCTGAAGAGGACAGATAAACATTCATTTCATATTCTTATGCTGAATTACAGAAGTCTTAATAGTGTGGAGTTTTAAATACAGCCCTCTTGAAGAGAATTTTTTTAAGGGTGATTTTAGCTTCTAATCAGGGCTCTGCAAAAATGCTTACTTTCCTTCTGCTTAGATGGAAAAATAAGCAGTCTGTGTCATCAGGAGGGAGGAGAAGAGGCATGGGCAGTTTACTCGAAGAGGTATTTTCCTATTGCTGACAACTTGATTGCATTTAAAGAGTTCTTTTTCCCCTTTTTTCACCCTAAGTATTTGCTGTGAAGTCCTCCTTTGGTAGTGACACAAATCGGCTATGTTTCTGCCATGTAATCTTCATTTTCCTCATGTAGGAAAAAAAATTGCACATTAGTTATTTGAACATATTAAAAAAACAGTCATATGTCTCCTTTAACTTCCCCTCATGATGTCACATAAATACTAATTTATTATATATGTTAAATTGGAGAGTGTTCTGTTCCCTATAAATTAAATCTCTAATCCTGCAAATCGTGCTGTGCATCTTCTCCAGCCCAAAACAGAGTGGGAAGTAACTGTTCTCTTGAGCTTTTCACACTGACCTTTGTAAAGTGACTTGGGAGTGAGAGTTGTAATTCAGTGCCTTATTGCAGTGTGCTTTCTTAGCTATCTGCTATCTCTCATAAAGGAAACTTGTCAGTACTGCAGAAGTTTCTTTTACCAATGTGTGGATGAGAGTGCATTTAGCACAGCCTCTGGTGTATTGGCTGCTGGCATCTGGTAGTTGGGTGGAAAGTCACCAGATGTGTGCCTTTCTCTATACCACATTACCCATAAAAATGGATTCAGGCTCCTCCACCTCTTAATCTTTATTAATTTTTTAAATAAGATGTCCTGGATGGATGTTTAATTTACAGATTCACCTCTTGTCTGTAGAATCATCAAGGTTATACTAAATCGGCAGCAATTTGCTCTTCTAAAATTAAAGGAAAATCATTGCATTTAATTAAAATAAAGCTCTCTGATTTGGATTATGTTGGCAGTTTTCTGCAAAGTGGGAACACCTGGGATTTACTGAGAGTAAACCAGCTATTCAGAGGCTAGCTGACGAGAAGGAATTTCAGTAAAAGGGGGAGGGTAGCTTTAGTGGACAAAGACTGTAAAATTTCCTCAATTTCAGAGGCCACAATGAATGTAAGTAAAGCAGAAGGATTTGGATTTTATGAACAAGAGGGTGTGGAGAAGCAGCTTAAGAGCATCATGTATCTGTGATGTCTGAATAAGAATTTTTTGATCCATGAACAACTCTGTATCTGGTGCCTGGTTCCCTGTCCCAAATCAGAAGCTCCTTTGTGATAATTTTTATAAATACTTGTTTTCAGACCATTTATGGTATTCTGAACCAAAATCATCTTGAGTGGGATATTTATTTATTTATTCAGAATTCGTGAAGAATTCTACCAGAAGTCACACACAAAAGTGATCTCCAGGGTGGAGAATAAATAGCCAATTGCTGATTTCAAGGCGGGGGGGAAACACTCCTTATATTCTAAATGGAATTCCCAACCGTGTTGTGTAATAAAATAGTTTGTTTTGTTATTGGTTTTTTTGTTAGTATCAGTTTCTGTCTTGAAAGTGAGAAGTTAGTGACACTGAGTAATTCACAAAGCTGAATAAATAGAAGTCACCTGAACTATTGTTTTACTGTCAATATTTTAGGTGGAGATAGTAGTGTGACATAAGTGTGGGATGGCAAAAGACTGCTGCCATGGTTTAATTGAAAATATAAACGGTTTTTAAGATATCTGAAATATCTGAGTTACAGAGTTTGGGAAGGAGGGTGGGAAAAAGAGGGATTATCATCATCCCGTATTTAATACTAACAGATTTTATGTTTATATGAAAACTCACTAGACTAAAATGCAGCTGAAATTCCCAAAGATCCAAGCCAAATCATAGAGATTGCTATTCCTCATGAAGCACTGCATGCTTTCAACAAAGCCACAGGAAACACATTTTTTTCCTTTTGATAAATAAACATTAGGACCAAAGGAAAAACCCTAATTGAAAAAGAAAAATCTTCTGTTGATTGGCTGTCAGTCAGACGGTGTTTCTTTCAGTGTTGCTAATGGTGGCTTGGACAGAATTTTAAACATGAATTAAAAATTAGTCTTTTGTGGCAATACCAGCTCACCTGTGTTTCAAGTGTTTGTGATGCTAAGACTTTTTTAGCCGCTTGATGAAAGTTGGAACTCCCTGTGTGCCATATAGTCAAGCTAATACTTGAAATCTGATCTGTGCTTTGTGCTTCCAAAGGGATCAGGGTGCTGGGTAAGATTTAGGCCACCTGAAGAGCTGTCTAAAGCTGTTTATGAAGACAGCTCCTCTACAGCATTTATAATTACAGTGACTAGTGATTAAAATGGCTGAAAATCTTTGTTTTACAGGGAAAGTTGATCATCATCATTGGTTAGGAAGGACTAATCAAAGAGTGTCAGCTGTTTATGCTCTCATTTGTCACTCTACAGCACATTAAAATCAAATTCTCGGAAATTAAATTTGGTTACTTCAGCTTTAAAATTATAACGTTTTATGTTTGGGATATTGTTGGAATTTTAAGCTTTTTTAATAATTACATACCCTTATTCTGAAGGAATTTGCTAGAAGGAAGCCATTTGAATGAAAAGTTAAAATTTTTTAGAGGAGATTGACAGATAAATCCCTGTTCTTTTCTAATGTGCTTGTCTGTGTTATTTTCCCTGTAGCTTGCACCGCGAGAGAAGGCAGCTATGAATTACAATCAGAAGCTGAAGGAGAAGTTCCAGTTTCACCCGCAGATCCGGCGCATAGCTCAGCACCGACACTTGCCCAAGAGTATTTACTGCCAAATCAAGGAGCAGCGCATCATGAGAGAGGCTCGGCGGCGGAAGTACGTGTTCCTCTTCTGCTCTTCTGGCTTTGCTTTCTCTTCCTCTTAATAAAATGCATCACTGCAGTGTTGCTGTGGCAGCGGTGTCCAGGAGTGATAGAGCTCCTCTGAACATCTGAATGAGTGGTCATGAGCTGCTGGATTGATTGTAAGGAAAATGCAGATGAGTGCCAGTCAGTGAGGACTTGCTGCTTCCCAGAAGTACAGTGGAGACATGGCAACAGATACCATGTTGGAAAGAGACACAGTGCTTAGTTAAGCATGACATGATGGCCCATTGCAATGGAAATAGGTTGGGGTGTGTGGAGGACTGTTTGGTTTTTTGTGGGTTTGTGGTTTTGGTTTTTTTGATAATGCCAGATTCCAGGATGAATGTTTTATGCCACCTAGATGATTGCCATATTGGAATTTGTAGGAGTAGGATGTGATGTACTTGGCTGTAGCCGTTGAATTAAGAGTAAAGTGGTGGGTCTTAGTTATCTTTATTATTATTTATTATTATATTTATCTTTATTAGCTAAAAAAACTCCACAAACTTGAGCAGCTGATCCTGTTGACATGAAAACCAAGCTGAGCTGCCAAGGAAAGGCTCATTTGAAATCTTTCTAAATTAACCAACTTTAAAGCTACTTTCAAAAGGGATGGTCCTTCTTCCCAAATGAGTATGTGGCTTTTGGTTATTAGAAACAGAGCAATTCTTAATATTTTTGGTTTTCTTTGTAGGATAACTCCATTAGTAGCTTGAGGAGGAAGACAATATTTCTTAAATGTTTGTCCTGATTACTGAGTTTCATTTTTCTGTTTTGTTTCTAGGGAAATGAATCGTCGTAAGCACAGCAAGCCAGGATCCGTGCCATTTGTGCCAGAGAGGAAGAAGCATATTGTGGCAGTAGTGAAATAATTGTTTTCACATGTACAAAATGTCACAATGAAAGAAAAACGTCACTATTAAAAGAATACACTGTACAAAATTTGATGGACTTTAGTAAGACAGCATATGGTTCCAGAAATATGACTTTTCTTCCAAGTTTGTACATCCTCTGACTTCTCAAGTCATCATCTGCTTTGAGTAGTTAGAATTTCCTACGTAGTCTTTTTTTGCCATTTGTTTGATGTTACTGGCCCAACACTGTATTGCAGTGGTGTTTGACCCTTTTGATGCAGGTAGATAACTTGGTGGAGAATATCTGCCATTCCAGTTCTCTTCCTTGGTACTGTTACTACAAAAAAGGATGAAATAGGTTAATATTTGTCAAAGCAAAAAACCTGCTCCGTACGGAGTTACAAAAATTATTGTCCTTATGCTGTCTTTTTAAAAAATTTTTATTTAAACAAATTTAATAAAGTGACCTTAAGCAATGTCTGCATTATACTTCTTGCAGTACCATATATTACTTTTATCCCAAAAGAAATTCAACAGGATTTTCAGACACCTGTAAACATAATTTTGCCCTGTCTTCTTAACTTGTTGTTGTATAACTTGACCAAACCTCAGACTGTTAAATTGTTAATATTGATAACAACTTTGTTGAATAACTTTTTCTCTTTAAAACCTGCAAAATCTGGGTGAAAAACGACATAAATTTTATAAACCACAGAAACTCCTTTGGATGAGATTTATTATAAGCTTTCTATTTTATGTTTATAGAAGGAAAATGGAAGTTTTACACTTCCATTCAGATACCTGCACAAGGTATCTGTAGCCCAAAGTTCCCTTGCAGTTTGCCTGGGAAACACCCTCCTTCTCTTCCAGTGAGATAAATAGCCTTTTGCTGAGGATACCAAGGTGCTCAGAAAACTGTGCTGGAATTATACTAGGCTGTCTAGACTGAAGAGAGATATGAGATATGTAATAACCCTTATGTTATTAATAACCCTTAACATCATCTGTGCAAAAAAATCTTTCTAAGTCTTAACACTACTGTTTGTAGTGACATTCCCCTGGCCCCAGTCTTGTGCACCGCAAAGAAAGAAAAAAAAAAAAAAGATGAACTCAATTAGAGCAAACTTAATACTTTATTTTTTTATTTTTTTTTTTAATCTGGAAATTGAGCACTTTGAGCACTTGCCTTCATATAGTATCCTGTTTAATGTATCTGCTGACACTAATCCATATGCATTTCTGGTTCCTACTCTTTAACTTGTCTCGTGCAGTACTGTTTGGGCAAAGTTCCTGAATCATCATGGCAAAATTATGGCTCTGGTGATAAGAGGCCATAATGTATCTTTGACTCTCTGGATCACTTACCTTTATGGGGTGATGCAGGAAGAGAAGCAGATCTGAAGAGCTATAAGTAGGATGATGAGAAGAAGTGGAACAGATCAGGAAATAGGCTGATGCTGGCTGTGTGCCTGTTGTACTAATACGGTGCACTCCGTGCCAAATACAGTTTATTTTCTTCCTGAAATACTGAAAAAATTGAGGGAGAATATGCAGTCCAAAATATGGCTTGTGACACAGCTGTAGTCAAGTCTTGCACAATTTGCAAAACCAGACTAATCTCTTGAAATGTGATTAAAAATTTTCAGCCTTGTCAGTTTTGCGTGAGTTGAAGTCGTTGATTATTGATTTGTTGAGTCATGGTAACCTGTGGTGTGAACAAGCCCTGCTGCTTGGAATTTACTAGCTTTGGTGCAGAACTGTGAATGTAGTGAGAACTTTCAGTTCTGAAGCTGGTTAGGTTATGGTGTGGTATTGGCGTGGAGCAGTCGGCATGAGCCATGTCCAGAGGATCTCTTCATGTCCTAAGACCTTTGTGAACTGTTGCTTTCAGACAGGACCTGAGCAGTGCAACTCAAAGGCTTGGCTAAAAATTGCTAGAAAGATTGTAACTATGCTGAAAAAAGGAATTTTAGTGTTAGGAGGCTACTCAGAGTCTGTGCATTCAGTTATGAATTCCTTTTCCAAAATCTTTGGATGTAGTTTTACACAGAGATTGGTCTTGGCATCAAGTGGGGCACCCTCTTAGCATTCCAGGAAAGTCTGTTTTTCCTGGAAAAAAGCCAAGTCTTGCTATGACTTCTAGAAACATGATAGTTGTAAAGTCAGTGCAGGTCTGATCTGGGGCTTTCTGGTTGGAAATCAGTCATTTGGAATTTTGCGGGTGGTGGCTGCAGTCTGTCAGTTCAGAGGATCCCTGGCCATGGATTTGTAAACTGTTGGGCTAGCTGCTGTTGATTTATCCCTTTTGGAAACCCTTACAGTTTGACTCTGATGCTTTTTGTGGTCATTCATCTGAAGTACATAATGCCACAATATTCAAATATATTTATTTAAATGTAGTAGTTGCTGTGCTTGCAAGAAGTGCTCATGTAAGTCTGTTACAGGCCATTGCTGAAATGGTTCAGAAATTAAAAGAAAGGAGCTGGGGCCCTTAATAAGTTTTTCTTTGGCAGGGGATTTATTATTTTTTCCCCTCAGTGATTTGAGAGGTGTAGTCAAAACTCATCTTAATCACCTTAATCGAGTTACCTATATTTATCAAGTGATGATATGGAAAAAAACTATAGATACAGGCATCTGCATGTATGCGTACTCAAGTGGATGCAGAATAAAATCCTTAGTACCACATAAAATAATGAAAATCTAAGGAAACTGGTAGTGTTTCCCTTCAAAATTTTGGTGTTTTTGGTTAAAGAAAAGAAAGATGACAGTTTATTTTCTAAACCAATGCATTACCTACAGACCTGCTGGTTAAAAAAAAAAACAAACCAATAAATTTCTGTATATGTTCTTTCTTTGGGAAGATACTTGAGTGGTTTGAAAAAAAATATTTCTTCATTGCATAAATTCTTAAAACGGTATTCATAGCCTTGGTGAATTTAGCTGTTTCATGATACAGCAGCTACGGAGTCATCAATGTTTTATTTCTATTTTATCATAGCCAGACTATGTAATGAAACAGATATTTGAACAAAGTAATTTCTTTTATTCTTCATACGTTACAGATACCTAAAACAAACTAAGTGACCACTCAGATATGTGTAAAAATACAAACCTTTTAGATCAACTGAAAATTTCAACAGGGTTTTTTTGCCAGTGTCTATGTGGCCCTTCTTCACTTTGCTTATGGTGGTAGAATCCCCTGGTCTTTGGGATGAGGCTGTTGTGATTCCTATATCATCAAACTTGTAACAATATAAAACAATATCTGTGTGCACACCTACACACAAAACAAACAATAAACACTGCCAGCCACAAATCCCCAGGGGCAGAGTGCGGTGCCTGTGTTGGCACCTGTGTAAACAAAACTCTGCTGGATATTGCTGCTCCATCCTCTTGTGCAGCTGGCCAGGCTGAGCCTCACCTGTGGCTGTGCACACAGCTGCAGTGGGGCTCTGGCAGCTGCTCTGTGAGACACTCCAGGCAGAGACTGGCATCCAGCCCATGTTTCCCCTTTGCAGGCCCCAGGACCTTCAAGTGCCTCAGACATGTGGTCCTGCTCCAATGGATCATACTCCTGATGTCCTGCTTGTGGGCTAGTCCCACTGGAGGTTCGCTAACCTTGGCAGGTACATGCACACAAGACTAGTTAGAAATAGGGTGCAGTAATATGGGATGACCTGCAGCAGTGCAGTGTAATTTGTAAACTGTCTACATGGGACTGGTCCCCTTTATCCTCTTTGTCCTTTGTTTTTCTCTGCCTCTTTCTCTCCAGTCTACCTTAGTCACTCCCTTTTCACACTTTTGGTGGTTACCTTAAACATCCCAGGGGAAGTTTGGCACTGCTGCAATCCACAAAAAATATAATCCTCTAATAAATTTTACACAGTCCCTAAATTCTTATTTCTCTGTAGTCTTAAAACCTTTAGGTAATTCCTCAGTTTGCAGTTTTCTAGGGGGTTTCCTACACTTGTTTAGTGGCTTATGCACTAGGAGCAGTCATTTGTATTGTTCCACTTCCATGTTTTTTGTATTGGTGAGTCTTGTGCAAGTGCACTTGTGCAAGTGTCAAATGCACTTGGTTTTTTGCTAATTGTTCTGATCCTTGACAGGGCTTTGTGTTTAACCGTAAACTTTAGTCAGGTAACATGCTCTGTTATATGGAAGTATCTCTGCAGAGCTCTTCCAGCAGCTAGCCCAAGAATGTGGTGGAGGCAGTAGAATTCATCTTGCTTAACCTTAATGTCTACAGTGCAGGCCCAGTGAACAGCTTTGCACACCTCATCTCAGTGGAGGTAAATACTTATTTCAGGAGGTGTTTATCCCATGCTTCAGACATTTATATTTTAGTTAAAATTTTAACATTGTGATGTGAAATATGACTAGTTAACTTATGAGTATCTGTCTAGGTTTGGACAGAATTGCACATAGAGGCAATTAGGTTTAAGATGAGAAAAAACAGAGACAAATGAACACCTTGTGCACCTTCTGCCATTCTGCACGTAAAAGTCTAAAAATATTTGAAGAGAGATGAATGAGGTTTTGTAGCTGCAGACAAAGAAATTCCTGTGGATAATGGTTTGTGGGAAACAAGCTCAGTGTTAAACTAGAGAAAGATGGAAAGGTGTTTGAAGAAGAGGGACTTTAGTCACAAAGAAAAGACTATGATGTGCTCACCCAAGACATGGGACTTTAAAAAGTATGTATCGAATTCTAGGACAAAATCAAAGATCACAGTTCAAATACCACCAACTAAAGAGGGCTGGAATTGTCATTGCTTACTACAGTAAATGAAAAAAATACACCCTTTCCTTCAGTTGAAGATAATGTACTTTATACACAGTTTGAAACAACTTTAAGGACTTGTTTTCAAAGGTAGTGAGTAATTACTGTTAGACTAACTTAAGGCAGAGCTGCTGTTTTCCAGTGCCTTCAAAGTTTGATCTGTGATCTCTGAAGTTTATAGAATACATAGAGGAATATCTTGAGTTTTAAACTTTTTCTTACATTAATGAATGTTAGTATAGTTATTGAGTACATTTTGTTCAGGGCTGGAGCAGTTTCAGCAGGTACAAACAATGTGTGCACAGTGGGTAGATGGAAATTATCAGGAGCTTATAGCATGTTGCATCATGTTTTCTACTTTTATGGCTTGTGTGGGCAAAGCCAAAGATCTTTCAGCAGACAAAAGAGCATTGCTGATTATTAAGAAGATAAATGGATGGAGATGGTATTTTGACTGCCATTGTAAAAATGTGATTAAAAACCATAATACCCACAGATTTAATATAGATTCAGTAGACATATTGTGTTCATGTATTTATTACAATACTGACATCTAAGCCTCGTAACTTGTATTCAGTCAGAGTGGAATTATTTGAAGATGAGTCTTTTTTTCTAAGAGCCTTATTGTAGAATATGATGAAAAATGCCAATTATTTACAAAACAGTATATGAAAACTGCAGCAGTGTAAGGTGCAAGTGGGCTGTGGGATGTAGCAAGGAATAGGGGACTTCTTGCGCTTGCTAAGAGAGGCTGTTTCATCAAACAACTGCCTGAACAAGTCCACAACTTTATGGCAGAGCCAAGCCTTATCAACAGCTGCAGAGTCCCAGTCTGGGTGCTCCTGCTTTTGCTATCTGGGGCAAACATCGCTGGGTAGCTAAGCAGCAGCATTCGTCATTACTCATTTCCCTTTCACTCTGTCCTGTGAGAACAGCTGTTTGCTGTTTTCCTGCACTTTGAGATCTAGGGTAGAGATCAAACTGTACCTGAGGATGAAATCACTTCTTCCTATTTGTAAAACTGTTTTGATCTAAGGCTTTCAGAATTTCCAGCATTATGGTTTTCTCCCTCTTCTGTTTTTGTTCTCTTCACATCCCTGCTTCCCAAAATAGCACCTCAGAAATTCTTGCTTTCTCTGTGATCATCATTGGCTTGGCTGTATGACTTAGGTTTTGCTAATCAGAAAACATGAAACATAAATACTTCTTCTTGAGGTTTTTTTTACTGTATAATGTCTGGGGTAATATTACCCCAAATCCCTTCAGAAATGAGGATTGTTTTGCTTTTAAAGACCTATGGTTGCTTTAATCATTTGCAGATGCCTATGAACCTACATTATGGTGTGCGCAGTATTTGGGATGCATTAATGGAAAGGAAACCTGGACTCAAAGATTCCTGGAGGATGAGAAGCAGGAGAGCCAAAGGGGAAAGATTATTACCAGAATATAATTTGCAAACTGGCCAAAGGGGTGCAGTTTGGCATGGCAGGAGATGGGGGAGCTATCAGGCACAGATCAGAAAGAAAGGAGTATGTCAGCAGTTTTCTTGCTCAGTTTGAGTGAAGACGAAAGGGAAAATTCAATCCCTCTTATACTATAAGAATGTAAGGTGAAATATCTAAAATGCCTTTTTTTTTTTCCCTCACAAATGGGATAATCCAGCATTTAAGTCTGAAGGCAAAAGAATCATTGGCTCAGCTGGGTATCTAAAGGTATCATATTTATAGACCAGCTATTTCCGGAATAGAGCCTGTGTTCTTTTGCATCACTTAAGGCAAAATATAACCTTGGCAAACAAAACCACTGGCAATATTTGCAGTTGCATCATTCTCAAGTGAGTATTTAACATCAGAAAACGTTAGGACATTCATGATAAGCTGCTGTTTTTACATAATCCTATCAGTTATGGCTGTCCAATAGGAGCACTACAATATCTCACACAGAAAATGTTCTATCACAAGTTAAAGCAGCATGGGGTAGGTAACTGGATTATGATACTGATGTCAAACTGTGGAATAAACTTAACTCAGTAATTGGTTGTCTAAATGTGATTTAAAACTAACGTTTAGTCAGAAGAGGGTTTTTTCCCCCTCAGGAATAAAGGAATAAAACCAGAAATCTGGCTCAGTGACAATTCTTTAAATTATGGACAATGTATAATAATTTGCTTCAAAAGACAAATACCTTTATGTGTTTTGTGCCTTATTCTGTGGAGAGCCTTTACTGTGAACAGCCCTAGACAAAGATTTTGACAGAGTTCTGCATGTTGAAGAAATGTCATCGTGAATTTTGGACAGAGCCAAAATTCAAACGGATGGTCACACTAAAGGATGCAGTCACAGTAGCAGACACAGAAAAATGTGGCAGAACAGATCAGAACTAAATTCTTAAAAAATCTTATTAAAATGAGTTCCATTAAAATGTTTAGTGACCAAAGATTTTATTCATAGGATAGGGTAAACTAAAATAATATGCAGTAGATTGCAAAACTGATCAGTTAAATATTTCAGTGAGAGATACCTGAAGGAAGAAACTGCAAATCTGTCAAGTTCTCATTTTATCTGCCTGTCTTAATTCAACCTACTTTTCATATCACCAGAAGCATGAGACTTCAGCTGCCTTGAGGAAGTACTATAAGAAGCCAACACCGTCACAATTTCCCAAATTCTCTTGCAAAACTGCTGCTTTAGTGAATACTCTGCTGAAAATGTCTCTCTGGTTTTCTTCTCTTTGGGGATGCCAGAGGTCAGGTGTCTTGGTGGACAATGTCCAGTCCAAGACCAGAGCCTGCTTTGTATTGTGCAACTGTTTCTGAGTAGCCAAGGGGAATAGCAGTGCTGACAGCAGTTTTCCATCCGTTCCTTCCTGACCTGCAGCTATATGTTTAATGCATAGCTACAAAAGACTCTTAGCTTGTCATGGAGGGCGTTAGATTTCCTTGCTGGACGCCAGCCATGGCAAAGCAAAGCTTTCCACTTGAGTCATTTGCTCACAGTTGAAATCGTGCAAAAGTTGCTGTTTTAGCGAGGTAATAATACTTCAGGTTTCCCTCTTATGGAGCAATACAATTCTCTTGAGGTCACACTGGTTTTTGCCACCTTTGTTTATTGACTTTCTGACTTCAGGACATTTTATTCAGTTCTGACAGTTCTTAAGCAGCATGTTTTTTATCAATGTCTCCAGGAAACAGATACTATCAGCAATGTCCAGACCTACATGTGCGTGACCTGACCACAGAATTTCACTGTCTTGAAGATATGTTACCTCCAAAATACAATGTATTCAGTATTAACTTCCAGCCAGCTAGTTAGAGATCTTGGTCCATCTGGTGTCTTAATGAAAACCATAATATTTTCTGGATATTGTACAGATCCACTAAAAATTTTCATAGATCCTCTTGAAAGCTTTCTGAAAGTCAATACCAAAGACTACAGTCTGGTTATGTTTGGTATGTGCCATGTGTCCCACTGTGCATTGGTTGTTCAGTGACAGTGCACAGTCTGAAAATATAGTCAGCACAAGATCAGCTGCTAGAAGTAATCTGCTGTTCTTAATGTACCTGAAGATGGAGTGATGTTGCAAATGCAATTCAGTGTAAGTATGTAGAATAATTTTCTGGAGAGGACTGTGATGTTATATCAGTCTTACAGTCACTAAAATTGTCTTTCAGGTAGTTCTGTAGGATTTTCTTCCACATTTTTCTAAAGTGGATTCATTCTCTTGTGCTCAGTTCAAGATTTAGACCATCATTTTGTGATCCTTTTTGCTGCCTTTGAGTAGTTCTGATCTGTTTTACCCTACACTGTGTCATACCTCCCAGTTCTTCACTTGTAAGCTATTTGCATGTTAATGCAAGAATATTTTCTCACAGTTATTGTCTTATTTAAATTAGCCAAATAGATTATTTTTCAATTGATAGGACAGTTTCAGTATGAAGCGGAAGTCTCCTCTTTAATTTGGGGTAAGGTTCTTTTAATGGTAATGATATTTCCTCCTTTGTTTTTTATTAGTTAATTCTAGCTGTTATTAATATCATGACCCCCCTTTTTTCCACCTGTCAAAATGATTGTCTTTCCTTCATAAACCTTCATTCCCTCTTTCCATTTTAATGGGATTTTGTCCTGACCATTTTGGAAGTTCTGCTTTGCTGGTCCCTTTCTGACATTGCTACTCCACAGCATTGCAGTGACCCAGCCCTCCCATTTTTATTGATAAGTACCAGAAAAGTCTTAGTTCTACTAACATACTTTGCTGAAGATACTCAAATTTTGTTTCTGTGAAACCTGAAAATTATGCCTTTCATTGGAAAAATTGCTTTTAAAGAACTGACATTTAAACACTATACATTTGAGTGGCTATTTTTTTATTCACTTTTTCTCCAAGTATTTGATTTAAATTCATTTTCCACAATGGCCACATGTATGTCACACTCACTGTTGGCAGCTAAAACTTACACACCCAAACATTCAGAGGAACAAATAAAAATTACTACAGGTTAAAACCATGTTGTGCCCATATTTTCTTATGACCAGACTGATGTGATTTTGTTGTCAGAAGAACATGTTCTTGCTATCAAGAGATAATGTAATTACAAAAGTTGGATAATGTCTTTACTGGTGCTGCTGTGTGAACAGATTCCAGATACCCAGCTTATGTTCTGTCCATAATTAATTCTCCCTACTTTCCCATTTATGCCCAGGCATGTCAATGAGGGTGTACTACTGTTAATAAGGTTCTGTAAGATGTTTTAGAAAGTGGTTTTGTATCATGGTAGCATTTGGAGGGTTTTCATCCTCACTTACTTGAACTGTGTACCCTCTGCTTTGCTGCTAATTGGTTCCTCATCAGTCTCACAGGGCTCTTTATGTGGTGTCACTCACAATCAGTGCAACTTCTCTGTTTTCTTCTAGCAGGGGAACCTCAGTAGTTCATGATTTTATTATTGTTCTTCAATTTGATACAATCTGTTCATGACCATCTGTACCCACTCATGCTGAGAATATCAATACTGTAATTTTCCATTTCACTCATAACTTGAGCTGATTTTTCTGGCTTGCAGCATTGTATATATATATATATATAAATATATATATATGCTACGATCTTGTACATAACGTGGAGCAGCAGATACTTCAAGGTTTGAGTTCCTTGCTGAGATTGGATTGGACTGATGCTTGTTGCACAGATTCGTTTGGGGCTATCCACTAATCCAAGGAACTGAGATGGATATTGTCATGGAGACAAAGTGAAGGCTTAGCCAGTAATATTTCTTAAGAGGAAGGTGGTCAGCCTTGCATCCAGCTCCTACGCTTGAAGAATCAAGAGAGAAATTTCTGTCTGGCCTCTATCTTTGATTTACCCAGCCTTGGTAGACCTGTTGGGAGCTTACATAATCCTGCTGACATACCTTTGGATCAGAGTCTCCTAAGCAACCCGACACAGCAAGGTACCAGGTTCAGAAATGGGGGAAAATGTGTGTTTACCTCTGTGTCATTTACAAAATGTGGGGTGTGCGTGCA